TTCTCTACTGCCACACAAATGGCCTACCTGACTCCATCAGATCACAAGTATTTCTTTTAATGCCTTATATATCACTAAATCAAAGCATTTACATGAAAAAAATTAGTTCAAACACAGCCTGCACATAGGATTCCAAACATCAAACGACCTCCAATGAAGAACGTATACCGGCAACATCGCACGGAGATCAAGTTAAACTTTCAGATTTTTGAAAATAAAGGAAAAGTATATCATCACCAGTATACTAATCGGGACCCCTATCTAAAAGCTGACATATTCAGTTGGTGATTCCATAATGTTCTCACTGGTTGGATCAGACCCCCCACGACTACGTTACTCATGTTGTTCACGTGTTCTTCTTTTGAAAAGTATCCTGACTTTTCTCCCGGTTGCGCTTTCCGTTACCGGAATGTCTGGTGAACATTCTGTTTTACAGTCACTATATCTATTCCATCAAGAATTTTGAACAGCTGCAGAGTCTTTCTGAGGAAGGAAGATTTTTCTCGTTTGGTACCATTCATGATGCTCTTTGTTTTCGATAGAAATTTTGTTTCCTTTTTGAAGATGTGACGAACAGATTGTAGATGTTTGACATAGTGTGAGGCGAATCTGTTTTGGTCAGTGTAAGTGGAGGCTTTAAAGATTTTAAATGTCCGAGATTTCTGTAGGGGTGCGACCTATGTTAGCAAATTTGCATTTGCTGTGACCTAGAATTGTGCCCGATTCTTTGTACTGATTGGACGGTAATTTCTGAGATGTTCGGATAATTCGTGTCAATGTCTTTGAGAGTTAGGCAAGGCTCTCTGGGCAGTTAAATGACGCAACTCTTGATAAAATCATTGAACAGTTACCAAATGAAATCATGAATGGCAGAAAGTTAATTTACAACTGGTACCTGGCGGGTGCTCTCAACATAGGTCTCGAACCCGCAACCCAGAGGTGGTGATACAAACGTTCAAACGCGACTTCCACATACAGTCGGAATCATGGCGAAACAAGATATGTTTATAATACACTATGACCCCAGTTGCAACAAAATTCTGAAGTGGGACGTTAAAACTGTACTGTGTAAGGCATGTGTTAATTGCATGCACACTTTGTGAAACACTTATGTCTTCATTGTGGTAATGATTTTTTTTCACTTTCAAATGTAGGTCAAAGGTACCATCAATGTCACATGATCAAAAATTTTGGAACCACCGGAAATGTCTTGTCACCGGGGAATAGCACATTACTGTGCAATAGTTATGAGCAAGGTTACTGTTGACAACAGACAAACAAACAGACAACTCAAAATCTGTAAGCCACCGATCTTTCCATCCGATGCATAATGATAGGAAAAGCGTAACACAATATGCCAAGACCAAGACCATGAAGTGGCGGGGACATGAAAAGTCACAGACATATAGGTCTGGTTAAAAGGGAGGGCGCTCAATCTGTACCGATATTGTTTTAAGAACGTAGGAACCATGTATCATTTGTTTGATGAAGACTAGGCTGCATGCGATTCATTCCCTTATATGAACACTTTTTCGTGTAAAATTGTTGACATTTACATTTGTTAAGATTTCGTAACAGATTGTGTTCCGTTTCTGCTATGGAGTCTACTTACTGTGCCTCTAGAAGTAAAAAGAATAACATAAAAGTATATATTTTCGGCAGCAAGTGCCGTTGCTTATAATAGAGTGTCTTTGGGATTTAAAGTAGGTCAGGTACTTCTCATTCCTTGGGTCCTCTGAGTAACTTTGAATGTTTGCTCGGGTCACAAGAATCTTAAGTTTTAGGAGAATTAAAAGTACAATTCAAACTCTGTGTTCTAGTGGCATTACTTTGGGATCCATCGAACACAAAGCATGGTTATTTAGTATGCAGTGAACACCAGGCCAATCATTTGTCTCGTAGATAGTATAACAGCTATCTTTTTCAACTAAATATTTCACAGTAGCAACACTAATATTTGATGCTTAAACAACAGATTTCCTTGACTTGTTTCCTCTTTCGCTTCGGCTGTACCATTCTTCACTTCATAGACCCTTCAGGAGAACAGTAATAAAAATCCAGACAGAAGTATTCTGCAAAACCCTGAATAAAATACGACATGTGTTGGTGTAGGCGTGTATTTCAAGTTTAGTCTCGATTTTCATCATAGCATTCAAATTTTGACACAGGTAGGAAGCACATCAATTACATCAAAACGTAACTTCCTCAAATCTTACCAAGTTAATTCAAGATCTTGTAATTTTGCGGTGTGCCAAGGTGCTGTGCTATTTCATCGGCAGTTACTACGGAAATTGTGTATTGATAAAGTATCTTGAATTACTCTTGTGCATCCTTGATACCACCAAAAGGATAAACAGACCATGAGAAGGCGCCATTGCCGAATCTCTGTGACTAAACATGAAACTCAAGTGCTCGTTTCAGATTCTATTGACGTGAAGTCAGTCTTAAGTTTAGAAACTTTCTCACATTAAAATTCCGTCAAAGAAAACAATTAAATTAAATATTGATGATTTTTAAGATTATAATCTTAACGGTTTAGCTGCAGCGTAGCTCTGGAAATGGATAGTATTATGGACGATAATGTCAATAAGCAGCTTCTTTTTTCCATTAATTAAAGCACACAAATACTTATTATGATGATGCAATACATGTGATGGGAGAAAGTGTATGCTAAGTGGTAAAAATGTCTTAGTAACTTATTCTTTTAACATTTTTAACATTTTAGATAACAATGAAATATACTAAACAAAAAAAGAAAGGTAACACTACTTTATTCTGTGATTAATTAATTAACCCCTTCATAAATCCTTACCAATCATGAATGAATAAAGTAATTGATCAATTCTGATAAAACTGCAGTCATGGTTCATTAAAAAACTTGGGGTCAATTTCAAAGGTAACACCATTAGTAACGGGTATGGCCACCGTTTGCGAAGTAAACAGCATTGCAGCGTCGTCGCATGGAACTCGTAAACCGGCGGATAATTCGAGGAGAGGTGTTGTTCCATTCAGCGATCAAGGCTTGGGCCAGCTCCTGCAAGTTTGACGGCTGATTTTGACGTTCTCTCACGCGTCGCCCAAGAACGTCCCAGACATGCTCAATCGGTGACAAATCAGGTGATTTAGATGGCCAATCTAACACCTGTACGTTATTCTGCTGCAAGAAAATTCTGCTGACGCGACTGGTGTGCGCTGTTGCGTTATCCTGTTGAAAAATGGCGCCAACGCCATGGCGTCTTAAGAATGGCAGAACCACTGGTCTTAAAATTTCGTCCCGATATCGAATGCCGGTTAAATTGCCATTTAACACAACAAGCCTGGTACGAGTCACCCCACAAATACCACCCCAAACCATTACACTTCCGCCGCCAAAGCGGTCCCGTTCTGCGACGCAGCAGTTCGCAAAACGCTCCCCTCGTCGCCTCCACACTCTGCGCCTTCCGCCACCGTGTTGCAGACAAAACCTGGACTCATCTGAAAACAGAACATTGTTCCATTGTCGTAAGGCCCAACGACGGTGAACACGGGTCCAGTTACGCCGATTATTACGGTGACGTCGCAACAAATTGGGTCCAGTGTAGGGACGCCGCGCTTTCAATTGGTAGGCCCTCAACCTGTTGCGGACTGTTTGGGGAGACACACGACGCCAAAACAATGTCCTTGTAGTCTCTACTGCGGTTACGAATCGATTGCGCAAGTGTATCAATCATAGACGACGGTCATCCCTGGCGGTCGTTTTACGGGGTCGGCCGCTTCGGGGACGATCGGATGTTGACCCAGTTTGGTTTAAACGACTTACCAAATGGAAAATTGTCTTAACACTGCAACCAAAATGCCGTGCAACTCGACGGCGAGACTCCCCAGCCTGGATCATGCCTATAGCCCTTTCTCTCTGTACTTGTGACAGCCGGGGCATAATGATAAAGTTGATAGATAGCAAGATTCGGTGATTTCTAAGTCCTAAGGATCTAAGGAACAGTTGTCAGTTTGAATGTTTATGAAATTCAAGCGAAGATACAAGTTAGTCGCAGAAAATCTCGTGCAGCTCTTTCGCTAATACAGACTTTCACGCTTGAATGATTTTGGTAACCCCCTTGGATTTTGTAATGTAAAACATAACCATTTTCTAATATTGCACAAACGTCATTTTGTTTTCACTCATTTACAGCTATTCGCCAAGGAAACATGTTAACCTTTCTTTTTTTGTTGAGTATATGTTCAACAAGAGGTCAAAAAGGCTTGTATCGCTCACATTTCCCATAGCTTTTAAACGGGAAATTTTGTTATTACTGCAGAATTTCAAACACTTAGTTCATATGAAACTACCGGTCAAATAACATTATCACAAATCTTTCATTTTTCATTTGAAAATTAAATTAATCCCAGTGAACTTGAAATTGAAAGACATTCATTTGAATAAACTTGAAAGATCTTCAACCGAAAGTGCAATAGGTCCTATATAAATGGCTTGTGGGTATTTAGGGTATTAAGAAGACAATGTCACTAGTTTTTTTTAATTGTATCCTGTGGCCATCGAAATAATGTGGGTCAAGTTCAATTATTAGAAATAAGGCTTTCGTTAGCCTGCAGCATTTTAATGGTAAATTACCATGAACCTGGTTTGGTTACTTTTAAATATTTCAAATACCGGCCATTTTCATTTATTTGAACAACTTTAAATGCCTTTTATCCCAAGATGCAACAAGCAAAAAATTATGGGTGCATGTCCTTCGCTTTATTTACAGATTTGATCTTGAATCCAATCACTTACTAAACTAAACAATAAAACATGTTGATTTTCGCTTACATATGACATGGAGTAAAAATTCTCTATAACTGTGTAACTAATAAGTGAAAAGATAAAAGAGAAAACAAAGATACTTTATTGCTATATACTTGTATTTGCTGACTTTATCTCATTTAGCACAGCAGTATACATTTCCGCTTAGTATTGATGGAGACGCCTTTCCGATGTATCATCATACCCGGTATCAACGAAATCAAGGTGCAGAAGATGTGAAGTTTCCAACGGTTCCGAAACAGTCATCCGTCTTGGTATCCATAAACATTGCAGTGTTAATGAATCTTATCCCGAGGTTATCTTTTAATTCAGTAAGCACCCTTGTTCTCTTACGAACTGTAAAACCTCTTATATTCCTGTGGATTATCCAACCCATTTCTGAAAAATGATCGTTAAAATTACGCCATGTCATTTAATTTTGTTTTCTCAAGAACGAATATTCATTACATTAGGATGAAGGGAATGGAGAGGGGTTGAAGTAAGAAAATTAAGAAATACCCTAAGCCAATTCAGATTTTTTAATCTTGTTCGTAATAAATATTGGGTTAACTTATGATGGCCCACAAATAATGCCGTTTGACGCCGATGTTTGGAAATAACATAACACTGAAGTCATTTCATGTAATTATAACTGAAACCAGTTAATGTAGTTATAACTGTAACAAGTTGTAGTTATAACTGTAACAAGTTAATGTAGTTATAACTGAAACCAGTTTATATAATTATAATTGAAACCAGTTGATGTAGTTACAGCGGTAACTAGTTACTGTAGTTATAACTAAAACCAGTTTACGTAGTTATAACTGTAACAAGTTGATGTAGTTATAACTCTAACCAGTTTACGTAGTTATAATTGTAACTAGCTGATGTAGTTATAACTGAAACCAGTTTACGTAGACATAACTGAAACAAATTGATGTAGTTATAACTGTAACCAGTATACGTAGTTATAACTGAAACCTGTTCATGTTGTTATAAAAATGTGTTCATGTTTGCAACAAATCACACGCAATATGTATTATACCGTCATTGAAACATCATGTGAAAATTTCCCTCATCATTACGTTAATGTGAAAATTTAGTTTCCACATCATTACGTGAATGTGAAAATTTCCCACATCATTACGTGAATGTGAAAATTTCCCACATCATTACGTTAATGCAAACAAATTCCTACATCATTACGTGAATGCCGTGTAGTGGAATTTCTGAAACTACGTAATTCAAGTTAGAAAGACTTACGATTACTGTAGGTGTGATAACATGAGTAGGACTTGGCTCTATAACACGCAAGGACAACGCAATCAGGTGTATAAAGTTTTTATCCCGTATCGAAAACCTTATTCACATGAGTCAAATGGCGATGTTAAGCTCAAATCAACAGAGGAAATTCCAAAACTATCTTAAACAGCTCTGCCGAAAATTCATCTACATGTGATTTCCTTGGACTTGGAATTGGGCGAATTCTCATTCTCTACCAAAGTTGTTGTTCCTTACATTTACAAACATGGAGGGTGCCGCAGCGCACCCTGGGAAGGTATGACACCGAGTGGACATTTGATGAATGGACGAACGTGAGGTAATCCTATAGAATCATTATAAAGTCAGAAAGTATATCAGATAATTGTTTATATGATTAACTTACCGGTAATTCCAAACCCGAAGTCCGTACATGTGTAGAGGATGGCATATCTAGTATAGTCGGTGTCCAAGACATACATGCGTCCTGGTGGTGCCGACGTCGGTAACCCTGGTTATAAGTAGAAAATTACATTATCATCTGACATCGATGGGGACTAAATATATCATGTTCAGACAATATTACTTCAAAACCGTCATCAAGTTTATACAAAAAATACACAAGGGAATTACTTTGTAATAATGATGTTAAAAAAAGATAATATTCATATGAGATTTACACGGAAACTCCAGAATGGGTACCAGCAGAATAAGATTAGGTGTTAAGGAAAAATAAGTGGTTGTCGTAATCTTGGTGGGTATAGGCGATGGACGTAGCCAATAGACTTTTTGTTTTTAAAGTCAAGACATCGTCAATATATCTAAGAGTTACCTGTTTTGATAATGTTTTTCGAAAATGAGCATCGTATGAAAACAAAAGTCTGCAAACAGAGGTACACGCGACTAGTTACAATAGGTATGCCAAGAGTTTGTTGGAAAAATCCAAACTCGCCGAAGATGTTGTCAACCAGAAACTCGATCATAATGTCTTTTTCGATATAATTCTTCTTTCATTTCATTTGAAATACGTGCAGTTTACAAACATATATTTTGTACATTATATATTCGTAAAACGAAAGCTCTAATAACAAGATAACGAAGGTGTTCTTTCAGTTTAAGATAGAATATCATGGTGCAAAATCAACTGTTCTTCTAGAAGAAAGGCTTTTTAGAAAAGGGTGTTGAAGATTACTTAAAAGCTCTTTTAAATCTATATACTTCTAATTACTCGTCTTGGATGAATAACGTAACAATAAGACTGTAATCCAGATTTGATCGAGCTATTTGATGTAGGTTTGATTAAACAGCTAGATGAACTAGCAATAAAATGCTTTTAATGGATTTAATGGATGATCGAGTTTCACTGACTTGTATTTTATTTCCACGTTAGATTTCAACTTGCTAATTCATTTTAAAATGATGAACCAAACAAATTTAATCCACTCATTTTATCCATTCTCTAGTACAGTTTTCCTCGGGATTCATAAGATTCTTGAAATTCATATTCCAATGAATGAAAGGGATTTCACGATATTTATGACTTTTCATGACAAACTCTGGTTGTTTAACATTTTGGATAATGCTTATCTCGCCAATTTCTGAGTGCCCAGTTGGACCATCATTATAAACAGAGATAAAAGAAAAACAAGCTAAGGGAGGTAGTTCTAAGGTTACGTACAAGTATAAGGGAATACTGCCTTAAACTTACTTTTCGTGTAAAATGTTGCTGTTGTCATTAGCATCTACATCCTTTTTTACAAACTAAACTTTCATAAATTGCTTAGTTACTGAAGAATCACGGCTATCCATTCGGACAGGCTTGTACAACACAATCAATATTTTTATGAAGTCTCCACAATATGGTTTAAAGAATCTACTTGAAGGTTTCGTTATAAGGAATGTGGAAGCGAAATTAGAGAGTTAAAAGCAGTAAAGTCAAATAATGAATTAAACTGTATCATAAGTTGTTTAGTCCTTCTATTGAAATATGGTGCCAGTGACACTCCCCGTCTAGATTTTGACTCTTGATCACATTATGGGCTTGAACATTTTCAAATAAAAAAGTTATATATCTGAATATTTTAGAAGAATGTCAAGTCCAAGTATTTATTCAGAACTAAATTCAGAATTAAAACGTAGCATACAAGTTATATGACCTCTTTTGCTCATTTTCATTAAGATTAAATTTGTACGATATATTTGACTCGTAGATATATCTGTCAGTTTTTGCTGTTCATCAAACATTGTTTTCAGCTTATATGTCTGAATCCAACTTTGACAGTATTTGCCATTCTTCTCAATAAAATGCAGCAAATGTAAAAAGTGCATATTATAACTTTTATAGCTAAAACCATAATATACATGGTTTCGTTTTATTGAATGATAAGATTTACTCTCATAAACATCAGACAACTTACAGCGAAGTGAATTGGTGTCGAAGTAGTTGGGAAAATTAGGGTCAACCCGTGTTAGACTGCCGGTGACCGTTCTTGGTAAAACATATACCCCTCTCCTGAAGGATAAAAATCGATAAACAAGTTAACACTTATAATCCTATATTGTAATAGTAAGTTATATAAACATAGATATGATCCTATCCTGTAATAGTATTTATATAAACAAAGATATGATCCTACCCTGTAATAGTATTTATATAAACATAGATATGATCCTATCCTGTAATAGTATTTATATAAACAAAGATATGATCCTACCCTGTAATAGTAAGTTATATAAACATAGATATGATCCTATCCTGTAATAGTATTTATATAAACATAGATATGATCCTACCCTGTAATAGTAAGTTATATAAACATAGATATGATCCTACCCTGTAATAGTATTTATATAAACATAGATATGATCCTACCCTGTAATAGTAAGTTATATAACATAGGAGACAAATACTGTTGTATACCTAGTGGCTTTCCAGTTGACAGTTGCTGTGAAGCTCCCGTTTCCCTCATGTCTATAGGAGACGGTTCTACATCGTGATGATTTATTAACCACCTGTGAAAACAGCCCCGTGTCCAGCCACTCCACGTGGTACCAGTCACCTTCAAACTGTGGTAACACAACATATTGAACTTCAATGTGTATAAACATTTGCATGGAAATGCTGAAGGAATGGGTGATTTAAGTTGTGATCATCTACGACCAGCACATTAACATGACTACATCATTACAGTGAGAATGAAATCAGCAACGACTCAGCGCTTAAATGGTGGTTTGTCATAATTTTCTTAGAGATAGTCACCAAACAAAATAGGAAATGAAATATAAGCATGACTTTGATGTCATCAGTGAATAGATTTAAGAGTCATTTTGCCGTTAATGTCAAATTACGACAGTCCAGTTCTCAAAGGCAATCTTTACAAGCTGTAGGGTACCGAAATGCATGCTGGGGAAGAACGACTTAATAGCTATGTGTGTGCAGTTTTATGTCGACGATAATTCATATTAATTTAATCATAAAATATATTGGTGTTACATTTGTAAAGAAACCGTGTTTAATTCTGTAGTAAACCGCATTTTTTATTATCATAATCATTAAAACGAGCAAATGAGGGAAGGATACGAAGCTATAATGTTTGAGGTTGGAACTTCAGCGACGTGTCACTTGTGTGTTTACCTATATGAATTATATTGCTTTGAAAAGGGGACTTTTCCAAAGAAGAATATCATAGAGCCGGAACACACACAGATATCTTGAGTCATAAATTTCTTGACGGAAATTCGCTGATCCTATCTCAACAATCTTAAAGATTTACAAAAATATTCATAAAAGATCATTGATTATTGATCATTAATCGGAGTTTCTTATTTTCATTAACGCTCTCCCAATGTCAGAAGAAATTTGAAGCACTTTTCCATTACATACGGCATAAACGTCGGCTATGCGTTTGATGTAAGGACGTCACGGACGAGTTGAGATCACGCAATTAATGTCTGACCAATCATCAATGACACGTTTGTCTTTTGTTTTCTTTAGTATATGGTTCCAGAGATAAGACATGGACATTTCACATGCACATTTGTTTGTTTGGTTTTGCTATGATACACTCATTGCCGCGGGACTTAGTTTACATTCAGGACGGTGTGTTATCACCGGATATTGTCTTCCCTTGTTTACAAACAGATTTGTTTTCGTCACTGCAAAAGAAATTTACACCATTATTCCAAGAGGCCGCTGATAATTTACACACAGAATAGCATACTATCACAAAGCGTTTTTTTCCTAATATGCACACCAGATAGTGAATTAATAATCACGAATTTTTTCCGATATTAGACACACAATAGTGTACTTTGTACCATGATATTCTACTCTTATGAATCGTATCTTTATTTAAACAGGAAACCTTCCCCTGACGTACACACTGAATAGTGTTCTGTCATAAAACCTTCCCCTGACGTACACACTGAATAGTGTTCTGTCATAAAACCTTCCCCTGACGTACACACTGAATAGTGTTCTGTCAAAAAACCTTTCCCTGACGTACACACTGAATAGTGTTCTGTCATAAAACCTTCCCCTGACGTACACACTGAATAGTGTTCTGTCATAAAACCTTCCCCTGACGTACACACTGAATAGTATTCTGTCATAAAACCTTCTCCTGACGTACACACTGAATAGTGTTCTGTCATAAAACCTTCCCCTGACGTACACACTGAATAGTGTTCTGTCATAAAACCTTCCCCTGACGTACACACTGAATAGTGTTCTGTCATAAAACCTTCCCCTGACGTACACACTGAACAGTGTTCTTTCATAAAACCTTTCTCTGACGTACACACTGAATAGTGTTCTGTCATAAAACCTTCCCCTGACGTACACACTGAACAGTGTTCTTTCATAAAACCTTTCTCTGACGTACACACTGAACAGTGTTCTTTCATAAAACCTTTCTCTGACGTACACACTGAATATTTTTCTGTCATAAAACCTTCCCCTGACGTACACACTGAATAGTGTTCTGTCATAAAACCTTCCCCTGACGTACACACTGAATAGTGTTCTGTCATAAAACCTTTCCCTGACGTACACACTGAATAGTGTTCTGTCATAAAACCTTTCTCTGACGTACACACTGAATAGTGTTCTGTCATAAAACCTTCCCCTGACGTACACACTGAATAGTGTTCTGTCATAAAACCTTTCCCTGGCGTACACACTGAATAGTGTTCTGTCATAAAACCTTTCTCTGACGTACACACTGAATAGTGTTCTGTCATAAAACCTTCCCCTGACGTACACACTGAATAGTGTTCTGTCATAAAACCTTCCCCTGACGTACACACTGAATAGTGTTCTGTCATAAAACCTTTCCCTGGCGTACACACTGAATAGTGTTCTGTCATAAAACCTTTCTCTGACGTACACACTGAATAGTGTTCTGTCATAAAACCTTACCCTGACGTACACACTGAATATTTTTCTATCATAAAAAACCTTACCCTGACGTACACACTGAATAGTGTTCTGTCATAAAACCTTTCCCTGACGTACACACTGAATAGTTTTCTATCAGGAAGCCTTCCCCTGACGTACACACTGAATAGTGTTTTGTCATAAAACCTTTCCCTGACGTACACACTGAATAGTGTTCTGTCATAAAACCTTTCTCTGACGTACACACTGAATAGTGTTCTGTCATAAAACCTTCCCCTGACGTACACACTGAATAGTGTTCTGTCATAAAACCTTCCCCTGACGTACACACTGAATAGTGTTCTGTCATAAAACCTTCCCCTGACGTACACACTGAATAGTGTTCTGTCATAAAACCTTTCTCTGACGTACACACTGAATAGTGTTCTGTCATAAAACCTTTCCCTGACGTATACACTGAATAGTGTTCTGTCATAAAACCTTTCTCTGACGTACACACTGAATAGTGTTCTATCATAAAACCTTCCCCTTACGTACACACTGAATAGTGTTCTGTCATAAAACCTTTCCCTGACGTACACACTGAATAGTTTTCTATCAGGAAGCCTTCCCCTGACGTACACACTGAATAGTGTTCTGTCATAAAACCTTTCCCTGACGTACACACTGAATAGTGTTCTGTCATAAAACCTTTCCCTGACGTACACACTGAATAGTGTTCTGTCATAAAACCTTCCCCTGACGTACACACTGAATAGTGTTCTGTCATAAAACCTTACCCTGACGTACACACTGAATAGTGTTCTGTCATAAAACCTTCCCCTGACGTACACACTGAATAGTGTTCTGTCATAAAACCTTCCCCTGACGTACACACTGAATAGTGTTCTGTCATAAAACCTTACCCTGACGTACACACTGAATATTTTTCTATCATAAAAAACCTTACCCTGACGTACACACTGAATAGTGTTCTGTCATAAAACCTTTCCCTGACGTACACACTGAATAGTTTTCTATCAGGAAGCCTTCCCCTGACGTACACACTGAATAGTGTTTTGTCATAAAACCTTTCCCTGACGTACACACTGAATAGTGTTCTGTCATAAAACCTTTCTCTGACGTACACACTGAATAGTGTTCTGTCATAAAACCTTCCCCTGACGTACACACTGAATAGTGTTCTGTCATAAAACCTTCCCCTGACGTACACACTGAATAGTGTTCTGTCATAAAACCTTCCCCTGACGTACACACTGAATAGTGTTCTGTCATAAAACCTTTCTCTGACGTACACACTGAATAGTGTTCTGTCATAAAACCTTTCCCTGACGTATACACTGAATAGTGTTCTGTCATAAAACCTTTCTCTGACGTACACACTGAATAGTGTTCTATCATAAAACCTTCCCCTGACGTACACACTGAATAGTGTTCTGTCATAAAACCTTTCCCTGACGTACACACTGAATAGTTTTCTATCAGGAAGCCTTCCCCTGACGTACACACTGAATAGTGTTCTGTCATAAAACCTTTCCCTGACGTACACACTGAATAGTGTTCTGTCATAAAACCTTTCCCTGACGTACACACTGAATAGTGTTCTGTCATAAAACCTTCCCCTGACGTACACACTGAATAGTTTTCTATCAGGAAACCTTCCCCTGACGTACACACTGAAAAGTGTTCTGTCATAAAACCTTACCCTGACGTACACACTGAATATTTTTCTATCATAAAAAACCTTACCCTGACGTACACACTGAATAGTGTTCTATCATAAAACCTTCCCCTGTTGTACACATTGAATAGTTTTCTATCAGGAAGCCTTCCCCTGACGTACACACGGAATAGTTTTCTATCAGGAAGCCTTCCCCTGTTGTACACACTGAATATTTTTCTATCAGGAAGCCTTCCCCTGACGTACACACTGAATCGTTTTCTATCAGGAAGCCTTCACCTGACGTACACACTGAATAGTTTTCTATCAGAAAGCCTTCCCCTGACATACACACTGAATATTTTTCTATCAGGAAGCCTTCCCCTGACGTACACACTGAATAGTTTTCTATCAGGAAACCTTCCCCTGATATACACACTGAATATTTTGCTATCAGGAAGCCTTCCCCTGACGTACACACTGAATAGTTTTCTATTAGCAAATCCTTGCCAACCCGAGTAAGTGATGTCAAATTCTCGAATTAGGACAGACCTAACAGTATCGAAACTGTCAGACATTCTAGTAAACACGTCTAGCTTCATATAAGCACAAGGGAATGAACTAATTTCCTATGTGAAATGGGTAAAAATATTTTTGCAAGATTCATGTCTTTGGTTTCAAAATTTCAAAAAGACAACCATGTATGTATTATGAGATGTATGTAATGTCATATTGTAACGTTTATAAAATGAATGATAGTGGATGAGAGTAGAGAGTAGATGTATAGCGATGTTGTGAAATAAACGTCAACAGGAACATCCCTATCTTGTCACAGGGATGACGTCTTAGCATTTCTTCAATAACATATAACCAAACGCGAAACAGGAATTCCTCTCTTCTTACAATTTACAAGTCACTATACATGTATAACAACAACGTGCTAACAACGGATTCCTGTAATAAAAAAAACAACTTGTTACCCTGTCTGGATCGAAGTCGGTGATGGCCGGAACAAGGGGACATCCTGCTTGTAGGAGAGAAGCTGTCCCAACGAGAAACAATAGTTGCAAAACGAGACCCATCTTAACTACCGTGAATTTCACATCTCGAACATGGGCTCGGTTTATATACTACAACAATAATTGTCTCCAGGCGACAGTGGGATCAGTTGAATTTCATTACGCATGCGTCAAGAACTATTGACTTTATAGGTAATTATTACACATTGATATTATACACTGTTTCATATCATCGCCAGTAGAATGTCGATGAGAAGTCGAATAAATGAGTCTAAGACAAGCAGTTCAAACCATCTGGATATTTAACAAGCACTTCCTAGTTTAAACAAAATTTATAATATCCTATGTCAGCGGTGTAATTGAATATAGATGTTATAATTTCCTCGAGTCCAGATCAATTTTAAATATTTTCAAAGACAAACAAGAAACTAAAACTAAAACACAAGAAATTCCTTCAAAATAGCTATATTTAAAACCAATAATGAAATGTTTCTGCAGGTGATGGTACCGCCCACATGGTCACTATATCGTTAACAAACGAAAGAAATTCATAACGATATTGGCAACTTAATATATTTCTAATCACACATAAAAAAGTAGTTTACCTATAAATATCTCAATTTTTATTACAATTTTATGTGAATAATATATTAACTTGTATACGTTTTAAATTTCTGTGTTTAAGAAACTACTCTTCATATTTTTGAGCGATCCAATACAAAATATTATTTCGATATTTTTTAACAGTCATCGAAATTTAACTTGAGTGACCGTTATGCTTTTCTTTTGGAGTATTTCCTTTGTGAAGCATGTCTTGGTAACGAGTTTTTAATTAAAACCCATTTTGAAAGAATCGCGTGTATATATGTCATATACAGAGGAAATGCGCAAAATTTTAAATACGATATTTTAGTATGCTCTCCTCAAATGGACAGTTAGGGTGTTATATAGTGCCCATATTGTTGAGAAACCTATTTTCAGTTCAGTTCTAGACGGATGTTTTAAGGGATGGCTTCATAAATCGAGTTATTTTATTTTCAATAACTAAACGAACTTAAGTGACTTTAAGTTTGAATTTGAACACGCCGCGTTACAATTATGCATGAAGCGAAAGTTATTCTATATTTAAGACTGTATGAAATAACACATTTTAATAATTCCCTTGTCTGTTTATCATTCCCAAACGGACAAAAATCTAGAGCTGCAACCCCTTTTGATAGAGCTGTACTACAAATAGGGACATAATCACATAAAAGTTCAAAAGCGAAATCAAACGGCTTTGAAAAGGCAAATATCAAAATAGTTAACACCAAAAATATTTAGAGCTAAAATACATCGCAGACATACCATTTCATCAGATAGGAAACACCACCAGACAAAAGTTGGAACAAGGTGCTCGCTAAAAGCGTATGCAAATTCGCATTCATCATCACAGAATTTGTGTATCCAGCAGAACGAACGATACTTTTAGTTCCGTCATTTTGAACATTTATTCGGACAAATCAGTTTGTCAATTTTATACTTAATTCGAATATTTTCAATGCATCTGTGCTTAATATTACTGATATGTAGCCTTAAGAGGTGACTGGTGAAAATATGATGGAATTATGACTCATAAATGACAACTTGGCTTGTTGACAAATGAGATAACTAATCAACCGTATGGAATTGTTTATCTAGAAATCTGCATTATATACATTTCAGAATAGGTAATAATTGGACATTATTACAATGCTAATGGATGTTCCTTCTTAGTTGACATGTCATAACCCGTCAGCATTGAAAATGTAGAAAGAAGTCAGTTAAAGTTATGTAGCCAGTGGCTCTTTCCAAGTCTCATCTTTATCAATTATCTTATTGATGTTATACACCAGAAAACTATAATATATAAGTATAATTTTAGTTATTGTCATAAATTGAATATACTCTCACCAATGTATGAAAATCAAATATTTAAACATGTCTTATCGAATTTTAGTTCTATATACCGTCATTCAAATCGGTTGGATTTATCACGAAATAACTTAGTTTTGCTGGGGTTTAAATTGACAAACCAACAGTATATATATGTCATAGGAAAACTCCCTCGATTTATTAAGTTCTGTCCATATTCATTTTTTTTCATAAAATAAGACTCCTGTGACATAATAACATAATAAGGGATATTCTATCGGTTTATAATAGATGATATTTACTCTCTGAAGATTACAAATCAAATGTTCCTTACTCATTTACCAATAAGTGAAGTTTAACTGCATCATATATCTGAGAGAGGTGCTGAGGCATCATGATGCAAGAGAGAATGATGCTAGGGGCTGAAAGCGTGGAATCTGGGAAGCGAGTCGAGAACCTAAGAATAGATTGAAGTTTTATAAAGGTAGGTAGGCGTATTAACCCTATTTAAGTTGTACACTTAAAGTTGTACATCTGTTAGTGTATTTATGTATCTGGGGTTCAGTATTTATTACAATGGCAAGGTAGAATAATTATCCATAATAGTCCATCAAGACATTGAATAGTACATATGCACCTTTTGTCAACTAAAGTAAGAAGCCTGTGGGTGATAATATCAAAGTGATCACCTTTCCTCCATTGAATTTGAAAATACAGAACAGTTAAGTCAATTAGTCGAGTCATTCAGATTTTACACAAGTGCTCCATATAGTGATCTGATAGCAATACCTCTGTACTATTACTAGGAGTTATTAAATTTTATGTTATTGTATTGTCCTGTCCTACTTTTCTACTATTGCTGATAACACAGTCAAGTGACATATTACAAACACCCATTTAACTGTATTTGTTTCGCTTTTGCAAATTTTCAGAAACATGTGACTTTCTATAAGGAAAACACAATCTTACACTTACAAACATGTATATTTAAGAAAATGTGTATCATCAATCTCTATTGGAAAAATTCTATATTTCGATTTTCTGTAGGAGTACATTTCTATTGTGTACAATATGTCATTGATGCTATATTTATGCTTATATGTTAATTGTTGTATAAGCGTGGACAGCTATACAGTATTGGATAACCATATAAATCTGCTTTCAGGAAATATGATGATCTGGTGGCCAATATTTCTGAAGTTAGATCTAATGTTCTGTAGATAATTGTTTGAAAGGATGGATTTCAGGAATTAATTTTAAAGTAACAAAAACAATATGTTTTTAATCCAAGCTTCTGAATATGTATTAAAGGAAATAAGTAACTTACTCATTTCCGAGGCAGCCTTTTAAAAAATGTGTTTCCTCTTCAATTAAAAAGTAGCAGAATGATTCTTTGATAATAAGAAACAAAAAGAGAAAAATGTTAAAAATGCTAGAATTTCATTTGCTTTAACGAACTTAAAACTGCAAAAAAACCAAAACCGATAATTAAAAAAAAATCTATTTGGGGATGTCTCTTTATAATTATTATATCATTATTATTATATTGTTTATATGTCCTAAAATCAAGAAAAGGAATTCACCAAGCAGTCCTTAAGGAATTTGAAACTTGTGATTAGTGGTAATATTCATGTAAATATTAGTCTGAAATATAATCAAAATGTTAAAACTATCCTTACGACGAATTATATTTGCAATTGTTGACGCTATTAACCGAATCACACCATCAACTACGCCGTAAAAATGTAGTGCAGAAGCAAAATTTCTTCGAGCGTCATATGAATCACCATTTTCAACAAATAAGAAGAACTTTACAAAGTATATTTAAAAAATACAAAACTCCAAGTTTTCATGTTAGAATATATTTTATATTGAAATATTTCCTACTTCCGGTCAAGCACGACTTTCATTTGCCTTTAAGTTTGAAAACAAATATTTGATCTATTTGATGATTTGAAATATATTCACATCAAAATCAATAAAATGCTGCTTAACGACAAAAAAGAATAAATATGATATACTGTTTATATTGGTGACAAGAGAGAACGTTTGGGCTTTGCTGAATTCAGTGTAACTTCTTGATATCGTGACTGTAAAAATAGAATATCCAATTCTGCCAATGTTATCAGTATTGAATTTTGAATATTTTCAATATCTTTTAATCCATACGTCATCTTGCATAATCTGTGATGTAATCTCCTCTATAATTGACAGAGTATATAGATTGGAGAACTGGCAGTCATGCTTCGGAAACGCAGTTCTGTCAATATGCCTTGAAAATACAAGATTATCATCAAAATATCAAACAATACTATCATGTTGTATTTAATGCCATACAGTGGACACATGTGTCAGTGCTAGTAGTTGGTACACCTTGTATAGCCAAAGAATTGAAAGACTTGAGGAGGAAAAAAGAAACAGAAAGAAAGAAAAGGGAAGTGTGAAAAGATAGATATAACAGAATTTTTTTTAATTTCATACCATACGCCTGCTACGTCATCTGATCAAAGTTCATGAAATTCACATACTCTTGAAATCCTTCAATGTAACGTCTGTTTGTGTCAGAAATAATAACTAATTTCGTAAAAATACAATGATTAGAGAGAGGTAGTGAAAGGATTGGGTCAGGCAAGAGAGAAAGGTGGGAACTGGAAGGAAAGAAATCATATAACTGAATACAACTGTTCACACGATATTATTTAAATGCCTTTTAAATACACAACTGTAAGAAAGAATATCTAAATGTTTTTACGAGGTTCAAAAACTAGCAAAATATTCCAACAGCATAAAAACCAGAGGGAAACAAACATTGCATGGAACTTTCGTCTTTTGATGATGGGTTTTCTTTTTTCTCCAAATCTGTAATAATACTTTTCTATATCAAATATTTGAGAAATTAATGCCATAATATTAGAGTTGAAGGTGGCTCCCAGTGAAATAGTCATGTTTGAATGGAATAATTTTTTTAGAAAAGGATGTTGAAAATTGGACAAAATCTATTTTGAGTTCTCCATGATACACACATACCATTAATTCCTTTTTGTTCGAAAACAGTTTCAAAATAAGGCTGTTATCAAGATTTTCAAGATTTTTCGAACCAGAAATAAAACGTAGTTTATATAAATTCAAAGTTATAGAATCCAATAGACACGGGGTAGGTCAGTATCCTT